AACCAGAATTCATCTATTTTCCAAACCCACAAAACATCAGCAGTGTTAATGAGCGGGCTGAACATGCCGATACTTCTGTTTTTGATTCTATTGATATCACTTTGCATCTTACTCTCTGTTTATAAGTTTGTTCTTGGTGATCACTGGGGGTGTAAGTGCAAGCCACTGGATGTATAAATTTGAAGACCTAGGGCTAAACCCTGTATTGTTAACAAACAAGTCAACCAAAGGGTTTTTTTCTGAATAAACGTTTTCAAACAGAAATAATCTCTACAGAATCTGAAAAACAAAATTAACTTTCATTATGCTCTAAAAAGAACAAAATCTAAAACAGAATTTTTGCTCTTAGATTTGTAAGAAAATTAAAGAACTCTTATCCCTTACTTTTGTTGTGTGTTTTTATCTTTAGTTTTCTTGACGTCGGTAATGACAGCATCACTTTGTTTCAAAGTCTTGTTCAAAAAAAGCCACAAAGAATTAATATATAAGTTAATACATTTCCAAAAATTTTAAAGCCAGCGTTAAAATAAGCCTTCAATTTAAACCAAATAGTAAGTCATCCTTAAACTGTAAAAACAAACCAATTCTTAGAAGAGTTTTTATTTTGCTTTAACCTGTAGGCTGAGTGGCATTTGTGACTAGTCTTTGTGGTAGTTAACTATCTTGGACCACAGGGGGGAAAAAAATCAATATATGGTACCATTTTGCTGATGAAACTACAGGCCAAAATTTAGTTCCTTGGCTTGTGGTTTCTGGTATAAGCTGAGTATTATTTTGCTTTGTTTTCCCTTCCATTTTGAATTTAGGAGAGACAAAAATGCATTTTTAGTAAATGTTTATGCTTAAGATAGTATACTCTCCTTTCCACTGCCTTATAGATCTAAATGTCTCATTGAAAATTGCCAAGAGCACTGAACTTCAATATAAGAGTAGAGAGTAGTTTTCCCAACTGTGTAAATATATTATGTTCTGGACACTCTGAACTATTGACCTTCCCTATGAGGGAAAAGCTGCTAAAATGTCAGTTAATCATAAAGCGGTTCCACAACGGGTTACCCAGAAGCAGAAGGCAATTTAAAAGAGCAATTTTAACATACAATTGCCAAAGCATGCAACGCAGACAATTTCTGATAGCGTATTTTATTTCCATTTAATAAGGGAAAGAAAAACTGTATTTTCCTACCCTCTATACCAGATGGCATACCCAGAGGAAAGAGAGATGGAGAAAAAAAGCAGGCCTGCTTTGCCTGATTATTCCTTGAAGTTTCTAATTATTTCCAGTTTAAGACAACTTCACATTTGTGCCTTTTTTAAAATGTATAAAATGCCCAAAGAAACATTATGTGGACAACAACATGGGTCAGAGTATAACGTAACAGTAAAATAATCACGCCCCTCAGGATCATAGAGAAGGAGAGGCAGGTGCAGGTGGCTTCAGCCACCAGAGGCTGTATAGAATTACCACTTCTCCCAACTTGAGAGACCCTAAAGCAAGTAACTGATCTTAACAAATGATTTTAATGTACTTTAGAAAGAAAAAAAACAGTTTTGGCAATCAGGCAAGACATTTTCAGGAAAGGATAAAGTAAAACCCTATTGTACACTTCTTTAACTGCTCAGAGTACTTAAAACACAGCATATATTTGAAAGTTAAGCGCTAATCAATTGCACTTTCAATACAAGTGAATTTGAAAATATTAACCTATGTGTTCTTGGGGAATAAGTTAGCCTTGCTGATTCTATTTTTAAAAATGTACATACTTCCCAGGTTTTATCTATTGTGCTTTTATTTATTTCTGCTATATAGTTATAATGAAAATAATTACCTGTGGTAGGGGTAGGATGGGAAAGAATTAAGGCTTCTAAAATACCACAAAATAGGGCTGAGATGCAGCTACTCAGCTATCTGATATTAGACAAATCAGTGTTTGTTTGTTATTTTTTTTCCTGAATGTTAAATTCACCAGCTGCAAAAGTCGGATCATAGTATATCTAACTCTCAGGACTGGTGTGAAAATAAAATATCATCATAGATTCACTTCATATGTTGGTTTCAAAGTAGTATTCAGCAACACTTGGCTACAAAAAAATTTTCATTTTCATTTGAAAATGTAAAATTTATTCATTAATACACATGAGTAAAACCTTTCTATTGAATCACTAAAAAATTATTTATGACAGATTCCTGCCAAGTAATACTGACTATTGCCAGAAATAAAATGGCAATGCCTTAAACACATTAAAATTGAATTTTAAAAATAGCAAATGTTAACTAATTTACTCTTTGATTGGTACTTAGTTGTCACAAAAATTGTTTCTCTGTAATACACCAAAATAAAATGAGAAGTCTGAAAGGCAGAAAATAATCTTCATTCCCTGTTATTTATAAGAAATTTATGTGAAACTGGTATCTCAGACACTCATACAGCTAACAAGTATTTATAATTATTGTAAAGGCTTCCTAGTGATCTGATATACTGGGTGTTATAAAATGACTACTTCAAAATAATCAATATTAATTCAGTGAGATGACATTAGTGACAAACTCTATAATTATAACGTGGAATACTCCTAGTTCTAATTAAAATAGAATGGTTTTTAGATCTGCTATGCAGCACCACTTATGAAACTAATATTCAGGCATGCAGATTTAACAGAATTAGATCAGAACTTCCTCCCAATGTTATGTTTGGGATCTCAAGGTTAACATTTCCCCAGATTACGAAGAATTTTTCGGACTGTGAAAAATGTACTAAAAATCAGCTGTACCATAGTTGGCATAAACTGTGTTCTATTTTGTTGATAAGAGAGCCCACACTGAGGCCAGTAGTGGTACTGCTGAAGTCTAAGGGACCTTAAATTTGGAGAAAAGTAAATGCATCTTAAAGGGAGTAAGTGCAAATCATAATTTTAATGGATACGGACTATTTAGTTACACAATATTTGTTATGTTCAATTTCTGCTTTCCAGAGATTGCTTAAAAATTAATACAATATATACTTTCATAACCTTTCCCTTCCTTTCTAATAACAGAGTGATAGTAGTAGACATTCCTAATGAAATGGTAACCACAGCTGCACTCAAATCTACAATCTCCTTGAAAATCAGGTCTGTCTGAACTCCCCTCTTAAAACCTAGGATACAACTCTTGAGTGAAGTCCCTAACTATATCATGAATATGCATGACAAAGACTCATCACGCGTGCGAGTTTTAAAACAAACTTACCGTAGTCGGAAGTAAAACAGCAAGTGACCGAACAGTTTATGCCACAAAGAGTGTACAAATTCTTTCTCAAAATAAGAATCAGATCAAAAGACAAATGTCCAAATGTCAAGGCATTTATAAGTTGGAAAGCAGTTCAGTTATCTTTAACTCTGCCTCTTCTTGAAAAGACAAAGTTATACCCTAAATAAAATACTTCAAAGCACTTTATCATCGTATTTCTACTTATTACAATTCAATGTGTACTCAACAGAAATCAATATGGATAAATCAATGTTCATTAACATGTTTTCTACTTAGTTAATACAGTATAACAAGCTTTAAAACATAATCTCATTTACTCGCGATCTCCACGGCGCTCATACCAGTAACTAATCCCAAATAATTCCAGAGTTAAATAAAAATCATGGCACAACAGTAATAAACCATGTGTGTGGTATTGCTAATTTTTCTGAAAAAATATTTTTTGATTGAAATAAAAAAATAAAGCAGATGAGATATTTCACAGAAAGGAAATTGGGCAAAAGAAATCAGGAGGAAGACCACTAGAATAGCAGACTATCAGAGGTTAGTATTATTTACATATTTATATATATGTCATAAAGATTCAATGCAGAAAAAAGGTAATTTCATGTATCAGAAAAATCAGCAAATTATTGAACTATATCATCTAAGTCTCAAACTAATGATTACAAGCAATTCAACTTCCTATTAGTGAATATTTGCAATAGGTGCTATTAACCTAAGAATTGAGTTGAATTTAAAAACACTTAAGTATTACAGTATAATTAAGTACTTCAATGGGTTTTGCTTTGAGTGTACCTCAGTACTTTTGGTGGGATAACCCAGCAATAATGCAAATGATAAACACTCAAGGATAAAAAAGACATTTTATAAGCCCTTACATCTTCATAGATTCCATAGTTTTGGTTTTCAATTATCAGGTATTTCAGCATAATATTGAGTATAAAATATTTCTTCAAACTAGTTTTAATAATAAATACTACACTAAAATTCACTGAATTAACTGAGATAATTAACCTTTTTAGTTGCTTTTAGTAAACAGCTAACAATTCCTCCTATTATAACAATATAGTGCAGAGAGAAGCCAGGATGTATTTATTTGTTATTTCACTTTTTAGTCTTTTGTGTTTTCTCCACAGCTATTATTTTCACCATTCTGCTTTAGTCATGGGGAGGACAATAACGGGGCTTAAACATGAAAGGAAAATCCTGAACAATTCTACAGCTGGATGTCAAGCGGCTGAACTAATCCACAGCAGTTACGGGATTTTCTGAATAGAACACTTACCTCACTAGGCCTTGTACTGAGTAACGTTTCCTATTAATTTTATATGATATGGCCTCTGCACCAACTATAACAAAATTATTGAAAAATGTAATTTCTACATGGTAAAAAGGTATTTAGTATTTGCACAAACTGAAAAGGTCTTTTTTTTTTTTTTTTTTTAAACCAATAATACTTTCATCAACACCTGTCAGAGATTTTTGGACCAAGTATCCAGCAGGCTCACCAACTACCTCACAAAACAAGAATCGAGATTTGTAATGATACTGGATCAATAGTGGAAAAGCATTCACACTGCTTTCAAATCAAATTGTGACATAACCAAGGTGATGATTTACCTAATTCTTGGCACTCTTAGAACAGTGTGACTACATTATGTGCCAAATAACTGACTTTTAATATTGCAGGATAGTGCACATCTATGCTAGGTTCTGTTGCCAGGCAGAATGGCCTGCTACTCGGTCTTACCTGCACATTTGGTTCTGGTGATTAGAGGAGGCCCTGGAAGCCCTGTTCCACCTTCTCCAGGTCTGGTAAGTAGGACGCGGATCTCATATTCAGTATCGGGATCTAAATGCCATAGTTTATAGGTTGGAGCATTGACGGCATGTGTCTCTGTCCAGGACCCCGACGTCATCCGGTACTCCACTTCCTTCAGGATGATGGGGCCATCCCCGATGATGGAGTTGGCGTTCAGCTGAATTAGCAAATACGTCGGCCCAACACCAAGCAGCTGTGGAGGGGCAATGGGTCTTGGTGGTTCTAGGAGAGAGGAGTGTACACTGTAATTAATGAACAGTTTAAAATATCATAACACATAGATACATTAATGCCTCATAAACCTTAAATGCTAATGGACAATTTTCTCCATGAACACCAGAATTGGAAATATTCTGTAGCTTTTATTTTCCCATTTTATTTGTTAACTGTCCAGAGGGTACAAATAAGACTGTTCATATGAGCTATCAAGGTCAATAAATAATGTGATTTAACACTGTTCCAAGGGAAAGCAATGATGTCTTAGTTTTCAAAATGACTTTTAAACTTCTTTTACTAACTTACCTCAAAAAGGGGCATTTCCAACAAACAAATAAACATGAAAGTGTCAGCTAGCAAAAGGTGTTCTGTAGGAATTTCATGATAGTCTAGGAATAAGGATTCCATTAGATTGGGATGGCCAATAAAGGCCTCTTTAATTTTTTTAATTAAAAAATTAAATTTGTAATCTCAGAATAATAGGGGGTACACATGCTTTATTTATATTCTTTGTCTTATATGGATTATAATTAATAGAAATATTAATGCCTCAAAAAGCTTAAATGATTAATAGATCATTTATTTAGGATATGATAAATATTTCAAAGAAAACCAGGAAGAGAAATGGTCTAGCAAATGTACTTGTGGAGAGGAAATAATTTTCCAGATTGTACACATCCATTTTACTACAATTTTTCTTTTATTAAAAACATGTCTCTCTGCAGAGATAAACTTTTAAAGTCCTAGTAAACAGGGAAAATAAAAAGAAAATATTGAGAGATAGATAGCTAGGAACAGAGTAAAGTTGACCCTTGACATTTTATTTCACTCATGAAATGAAATGAAATACAGCCAGAGTGGTACTTTTCTTTTTGTTTTGGCTTTGCTGTGTATGCTTCAGCGATCCTACGGATAAGAAGGCAGACACAGCAATGTGGAATTCAGAAGCTGACGCCAGATGTTGACCTGTTTCCACACATCCACCTCTGTGTGACAAACTGAAGTTTACACCCAGGCAAAATCACAAATCACTACATGCCACTGACCTTGGGGACTAGTGTGTGATGAGGTGATGCATCAAATGCTAAACTCAAAGGTGTGCTGCAATGTAATTTTGGACAGCTTAAGATATTTTTGCTTGAAAGAAACTTTGGGAAACATTTCAATGTTTAAAGTTATAGAAATGATAAATGATACAAGATATTAGAGCACTCTTTGTTCCTTAACAAAAGGCAGCTGAAAAGAGATATTGGACTTTATGAAACACTCCACAGCTGTCATTTTATCCATGTGGTCTGTCCACAGGGAATGCTAAGTCCTGAAGTTCTCCTTAGTACCTCGGGATTGGGAGGGATTTTCTTAGAATTTTTGGACACGACTCACACTCTCAAGAAAGTTAAAAGACTTTGAAGGAAAGTGTTAATAAGTGAGGATTGCTCAAAAATTGATTTAAATATTTTTTAAAAGTCAGAGAAAATTACACAGAGGAAAACTATTCCACGCAACCACATAATACGCTCTCTCCCACCCCATTCCAGGTGGGCGTATTAGAGAAGACACAGATAAAAGGAAGTTAAGAACATAACAACCCACATCTTTCAAATTGGATTTTCCATCTTAACGGCAATGCATTGTATGGAAAAAGGTGCAATGAAAAAAAGCCTGTAAGTAAGTTTAACCTTTTTACCCAGATGTAAAGGATACAAGAATTTTCAGCAGTAGTGCAAGATTTTCTTTTTAATACTAACAGTAACGTTACTAGCTGAAAGCCCCTCAATTACAATTGTCCATAATGTAAGACTAGAATGTAACTTAAGATTGTCTTATCTGGACCTCTATTTGGACTAATGTTATTGTCAAGAATATTTTTCAAAATTCATAACAAACATTTACTGAGTAGCTAATGAATTGCTAGTGTGTTCTCCAGGCTGGATATCGTATAACATTGTGAGGGAGACACAGTAACAACAAACCAGCACATTCATTACTTTAAACTGAGAGTTCTATAGGAAACAAACAGAATGCTGAGATAAAGGAGAACAGATTTTTTTCCCTCATCCAAAATCACTTGAAGAATTTAAGTTACTCCCTCAAATAATCTCAGCTCAATCTGGCAACAGCGTTTAAACTAATTATCAGCGGAACCATATGACCGTGTGATTCACTGTGCTCATGTGTAAAATGAAAATAAAACTAGGATCAAAAAAAAATGGCATATGCTATACAAACTATATTCATTTTGAATTATGTCTATACCTACATAAATGTAGTTTTAATACCTGACTTAGAAATTTTAACCACAAAATCCACTCCTAATCGTTTGCGAGTTATTTCCACAATATTCAAAACCGTGTAGCAGGTGAACTATTTCTAATTTCACAACCAAACTCAAGGGAGAACATATTCTCAAAAGAAAAAGTTCAAATAAAACTAAATGTTTACAGTTTCCATTCATCGGCTAACATAAGATTGAGCTAGACATTTCATCCCATGAAACTTCACCGACTAGTCAAACAACTTTTATATTCAGTGTTTACAAAAGTTCTAGCAGTTAGAGAACAAGAAAACTGATATAGCCTCTCAACCTCAAACTGAAATGAAACTGAGTAGAGGACTAAACATAATAGAAAAATGCAAATGTCTTCCCACACTATCTAAACATTGCACATACTTTCAGAAGCAGTCTGTATTTTGTGAATAAACTGAATTGCCTCACATATGAAATGTTTGTTTTCACTCCAGATGGCTCAGATCCGAACTAATTTAAGTAGGAAAAAAATGGTGAATCACAGTTCACTGGGGTTCTATCCCAGAGCAGCAATACCCTGCTCCAGAGGTCCTCAAACTTTTTAAACAGGGGCCCAGTTCACTGTCCCTCAGACTGTTGGAGGGCCAGACTGTGGGCCCCGGGACGAGTCAGCTGCTAAGCAGGACAGGCAGCAGCGGTAAAAACACCGGGCAGGCCAGATAAATGTCCTAGGCGGGCTGCATGTGGCCCGGGGGCTGTAGTTTGAGGACGCCTGCAACAGCTCAAAAATGACATGATGGGATCTAATACGTAACATAATGATGAGCAGGGACAGTGTACTAAATGAATTATAAATAATAAACCTTGGTTAATCTATGAATTTATAGGCATCACGAAACCTCACCTCATGTGTTGCAAACTGAATGTTAAGTCTCACCTATCCAAACTCTACACACCCTTGCTGTGGAAAAAAAGGGAGAAAATTTAACAGGAGAACACACAATGGGAAAGGAAGAGAGAAAAGAGCTACACCAAAAACATAATATTAGAAACAAATGCAAGAGTGAAGCATAATAGTTCTTCAATTATTTCTATCTTTAAGGGAGTGACACAAAGGAAAATAACATGTGGCATCAAGAAGACTAGTTTCAAAAATGTATACGTAGTAAATTTAAACATGGGCAAATTTAAATATGACCTAAGTTGTCTGCACTACAATTTCTTCATTTGTAAATTAGGCACTACGTGAAAAATTTATGAAGACTCCACAGTTCTAAATACATCAATAAACCCTAGATGTGAGCCCTGTATGTTTTGCTTTTGCTGGAAAGCATATACATTTTAAGACTGGAAATTAATATTCAATGGTGGTGTTATGTGCACGTAAACAAATGACTTTGAAGAAATCAGGCTCTTGGCCTGAAGAGGGGCAGCAGTTCACTCTGATCAGTTCTATGTCTCACTTGCTATGGTCAGGCAAGGGGGCAGGGTCCAGTAATCACAAAGCCATAGCTCAAATTTGGAAATGTGGCAATGTTGAGAGATGATTAAAAGAATATATATTGATTGACAACATGATCGTAAGAAGTGAAACCAAGCATTAATGAAACTAATATACCCCTACATATTAAATTTTTTATACTGGAGGTAAAAAGTAGCCTTAAATTAGCATAAGTATTATGTTCTTAGGCCCCTGAGAACACGGAGGTTTATTTATAAAATCTCTATTCATTTCAATAAATTATGCATGAATTTTAATCAGTTCACAAATGAACAAGTAATTGTTTTGCAGCAATATTAATATTCATCATAACTTAATACACTACCAGACTAGAGGTGTGGTGTGCATAAATCCCAGTTGTACAATAGGTATTAACTGAAGCATGCAATCCCTAAAATATAAGATAAACTTTGTCTATGTTATCAATTAACTTTCAACTAAGACTTACATTCATCACTCCAGAACTGAGCCTATTATAAAACTCCAATTATATATTCAAAGGGCTATATTTGTTTTTATATTTCAAATAATTTTTAAGTGCCTTGAAATGAAGTAAGTCTTTATGAAAGTATATTCTCATCCAATTATTCCTATTACAGTATTATTTTGCAAACACATGTAACTTATTACAATTCAATTAATTAATAAAATATAAAATCAAAAATAGAAGCCATGTATCTAGGAAAAGTCAGTAACCAAGTAAACGTCAAGGCAAATAACACTGCTACATTCGTCATTGCAAACAGACAAACTAAAACCCTTTCCATCCTATCTCCTTCCTAACTGCTTATTTATTTGTAAATAAGCCTTGACATAAAATATCCTAAGATTAATCCTTTCACTATGGAAGCAGGCAATGATATGCTATTAGTCTCCTATATCTGCTGTAACCAATTACCACAAAGTTGGTGGCTTAACACAACAGAAATTCTCTCACAGTTCTGGAGGCCAAAAATGTGAAATCATTATCGCTCAGTTAAAAATCAAGAGAAGACCACCTTGCCTTTGAAGGGTCGAGCAGTTCTCAACCTGTGGGTCACAACCTCTCTGTAACAATGAAAATACATCACAGCATTAGGAAGGTTGAGAACCACTGGCTAAGACAAAAATTAGCTCTTTCCCTGTCTAACTTCTAGCAGCTTTTGTGCTATTCCTTGTCTTGTGGACATACCCCTCCAACTCCTGCCTCAGTGCTCACATTGCTTTCTCCTCTCCTGTCTGGAGACAATGACCCCCTGCCATCCACTTCCATGGACA